AAAACTAATATCAAACCTGCACATTCTGTTGATGTCACCAGAAAGGACACTGTGGTTCTTAACCTTTTCAAAGAAATGAGCAGTAGTTCTCTGTCCATAAAAAGTTGTTTAATCCTGGTTTAAACCCTTATATGACCCCAACCACTAGATATTCTGAAATTCTATTTTTGGAATTTGAACTGACCTAAACAGGTAATTCTATATTATCTTTAATTCTGAAATAAAGAATAATAGCAATAGCACTTAAACTTATATGCCACTTCATAGTGCTTTATAGTACTATAGGTCAACATATTGTCCCCAACAATCTGTGTTCTCATTTTACTGACATCGGAAGATGGAAGGCTGAGTCAACGTTGTGCCAATGAGAATTGAACTGCTGGCATTCGTCAGAATTAGCCTGCAATACTGCATTCTAACCACTGCAGCACTGCGCCAACCCCTAGAAAGCTTGACAACAGACAAAGCCATTTCCATCCATTGTCCTTCACCATATTTACCTGAAATTGGTAGAATGGCATGGCTGAGACAGAATCAATCAAAGTCTTTTTACAGAGCTACATATGTTAGGAATCAACAGCATTAAGTCTCTCAAATGCATTAGCAAAATATGTGGTGAAGCTTATACCACTTTAAAAATAATACATTCAGAGATGGTTTCATGATATATTACGTAATACAATATATTAGTGCAATATTAAGTTTGACTCCTGATAATTATGTGGACATATCCATGTTGATTTCTTGGCAATAATGCAAGTTATTTGCAATTGACATTTTTAAGGATTTTTTTTAAACTTGCCAATCTTCAATTTAGCTTTCTATCTAACCCTAACCCTAACCAAACCTCACCCACTCAAGGTGTTTTTTTTTTTTAAATAGCCAAAGTTCACTAAATGCCTTCCATTTTCTCCAATAATAATTCATTACATTCAGACAAAATTGAACTAAAATACAATGATGTTGAACTGTAGCTTGGCTCAAGCTACATCCACAGATAAGCCAAGGAAACAATATGTAAAGATTGCAGTAAAAGTGGCATTTAGGCAACATTAGGTTAAACTTTTCAGAGACTGAATGAGCACATATGCATTCTTGCACTTTATACTCTTCATACACAAGGTGGTCTTGTCAGCGTCACTTTCAAAAATTAAAGCCTCAGTTCTAAACATGAGGCTATAATGAAAATCTGCTTGAATTAATCACATTTGGATCATCATCACAGTATTTGGAATAAAGGTCATTATCAGCCAAAATAATTTTGTTAAATATTTAATTAAGACTAGTGGGCATATCCTAATATTATTACAGGCTTGTAATAACCTCTCTTTCTCTCTGTGTGTATCTATTTTGTTCTGATGCTTTGAAGTATAAAGCATAATTGTGATTTGGTTGCAATATAGCTCAACATCAAACTCAACAATTTGAAGAGCTCTTTGTGAAACATAAGAACTTACTCCAGGGGCTCCCTGAAAGCTAACATTTATGTACTTAAAGCATTTGAATCCCGTTCTTTCACCAGAAAGACTCCAGAACAGCCTACAGATCAATAATGGCAGTCTCTGTCCTCTGGTTTGAAGTCTAAAACAGAACAGCATAAAGCAAAGAAAAGCAAAGGGGAGGAGGGAGGATAGGAAAGAGTGAAATCAGAAAATACAGGCATATTTCTATAGTGTACAAGCTCTACCTTTCAACTCATTTTTGTTGATGATCCAGGCTGATCTCCCTGACTGTCAAATAACTCTAATGTGGCCAGATGTTTTAATGTCATAATGTCTTGGAGGCATTATGATCTTCATAAGAGATTATTCTAGAGTGATACATGCTTGAAATCATATTGTCTCATGAGTATAATATATTAAAATGATTGAATTACAGTTTGTCACAGATCACTAGATTCCTTCACCCACCTGTCTAATATTTTTTTTAACCCAGGAGTCTGTGCAAAAATATGGTGTACTGTATACAGTATTGCCAGCCTGAAAAAAAAAATAGGTTTTTTTCCCATTCAATTTGCTAGCAGTTAAATGCCACTTCAGTCATTGCTTCTTGGTGGTTATTCGGCCTAATTGCTTCAGTAAAATGTGGTAATGCAAATATATGAGCTAAACATTGTTTAAAGTTTCAAGTATTAAATATCAAGTATTATCCATGTAGCAGAGCCAGTTTAGTGTAGTAGTTAAGCACCAGCCTAGAAAATGTGAGACCATGAATTCCAGTATTTTCTGAGGCATAAAGCCCATTGGGTGACCTTGGACCAATCACTTTCTTGGCCCTAGGAAGGAAGGAGGCAATAACATACCATTTAAAAAAAAAATGCCAGTGAAATTGCAGGGACTAGTCCAGGCAGTTGCCAGGAATCAAAAACTGATTTGAAGATACAAAAATACCTTAAATTATAGACATGAGAACCCCCCAAAAAAAGTAATGAACATAAACTCCTTTGAATCTCAAACTTGAGCAGTCTAATAGTTGCAAAAGAAATCAGTCTTATGAATTCTTGGATTTAGAAGCTAATATCTTGAAGCTTATGATTTGGGACTAGGATTTGCTCTTTCATTGGTACTATATCAGGTAATTGACTAATATTGGTATTTGCTCATTTGTTATTCTTTAGCAATAGCACTTAGACTTATGTGAGACTCCATAGTGCTTTACAACATGCTCTGAATGGTTTACGTCAGCATATCCCCCCCCCCCCGACAATTTGAGTCATCATTTTACCCACCTCACAATGATGGAAGGCTGAGTAAACCTCAAGCCCTGTCTGTTTGCCTGAGTACTGCATTCTAAACACTGTGCCACCAGGTGGGAAAGCAAATGTTTTACCTACTAAGACACAGGGGAAAACTGATATTCATTTGGGATTACTAAAGTCTCTTTTTTCATGCCATAAAAAACACTGCCTTCGCTCCCCCATGCAACTTTAAATAATAGCCAAATGTCTTTATCAGGACAAAGAAAAAATTGAAGGGTATGCCAGCTAAGAAACATCAAGTCCTAAAGTACAGTGTAGTAAGGAAGCAGTGAAAAGTAAAAACAAAAAGAAAAAACAGATGGAATTTTAGAGCACTCCAGTCAATACTGAGTAGGCAGAATTGTATCCAAGGAGTTGAATTGTTGAACACCCAACTCATTAAATGTTGTCATGATATTATTGCCAACCAGGTGACACTATATAAGAATTATGCTTCCTTGGATCCTGGAATATAATTTTATTGGAAAAGAGGTAGGAAGGTAATCAAGATCCATTTGCTATATTAATGATGGAGACTAGGCAAAGAGTAGATCTGATTATTTGCCCAGATTTACTGCCTGGAATTCACCCAGTACCCTCACTTGTATTGCTTTTCTTCCTTGCAGAGCTTAAAATTCTGGTAAATAAAGTTTTTAAGCTACCTGTTATTTGGTCTCCTACATTTTTATATCTGTTGAGCAACAAATTAGATACAGAAACCAGTATTCAGTATTGTTGTATAGCTACAGCTATCATATTTTTTTCAACAATGCATATATTCCTAACACTAAGTCAAGCATTTTGAAAAGCACATACATATTGAAGTTTGTGGCTTCTTGATTTCGTTCTTAAAACATCTTTTCCGTATAAATCTTGACCCATGTTCAATCTAGAACGCTTAAAAGCTCCTATTATCATCTTAATTTACTCTTGAAAGAGAGATAAATGAGATGACAGTTACATAAAGGAATATCATTATTAGTCTGTTCATCACATTCTAAAAGTATACAATATTCCAATATCACAATATTGCACTATATTTTATCCAGAATATTTTGCCATTTTTTCCCCAGTATTAGTAGTACTATAGCAAATATTTGGTCTCATAAAAAACAAGAGGGGAAAAGTGCAATTTTGAAGTGTCTCAGCTTCTAAAACCAATGTTTTAATGTGCAACACTCATTAAACCTTGAGGGAGTCCAGTTCTTCAATCCAAATTGAAATATAGGTTGTTGATAATGTTTCAGGGACTTTGGGTCTCCTTGAAAAAGACATGGATTTAGAATTGTGTAGGTTAAACAGAGATTAAGCTTTAAAACTAATTTATGATTGGAAAGAAATGGGGCTGTGAAGTAGGGAATTTTGAGAATATGATTTTGGAATTTTCAGAAATCCAGGAAAGATCTTTTTTAATTAGTATGTCTTTAGCTATGTTTCTTATAAAATGGGCAGGAGAGATACTGCAATATTATCTACAGGGAAGAAAAACATTTTGTAACATGAATAAATATATTATGTATAATATATTATCTTGTGTACCATAACAAGGGGTGTTTTGTATATATTTTATCTCAAAGCTTTCAATTGCAGGTAAAATCTTTTACCAGACAAGTTTGAATCATGGTGAATTAGTGGGCATATCTGTTATTTTCTTGGTAACGATATGGTAATGATGTTACCTTCACTGATCTTTTTTTTTAAATGGAATTTTCTGATGATCATCCATCAAAGAGATAACTATATGTAATCTTTTTTCAAAGCATTCTTGAAGCATGGAGACAACTATATCCTATATAAAGTTTTGCTTATACCACCATAATGTACATGGTTGAAAGCAACGTGACTGCACGCATATGCACATCCAAGAATCCTACTATGAAGGCTGTCAAAGCAGCTGAATCAATCCTTCAAGGAATTTCCCTTTCAATGCTTCAAGGAAAAGTTTTTCTCCTATTATAGAGGATTAGTGTTTATTTTTGTTGTTGTGTGCTTATACACTTGAGTGATAATATTTTGTTATAGACACTCCAAGAAACTGATGGTTGAAGTAAGATTACAAGTAAGAACTTTTAAGATTGTACCTCATTCTCTTAATCATTGCACTTTAGAAAGTGTTTTTCATTTAGTCTGAATGAATCATGTCAGATGGTTTTTCAATATACCGGATGAAATTTTATCCTTCAAAGTGATTAAAAATAGCTTAATTCTATTACTTTGATCTACTTCTCACTATGTATTCATTAATTTCATGTTTACTTTACAGATCCTCTCTCTATTGGCTAAATCGCATCCAGTCCTTCCTTTACTGCAATGAAAATGGCCTGCTGGGCAGCTTTTCTGAAGAGACTCATTCATGTACGTGCCCGAATGACCAGCTTGCTTGCCTTGGCTCCCTACCGTGTAGTGTGGGGGAAGGTTCTGCTTGCCTGACCTGTGCGCCCGACAATCGTACCCGCTGTGGGACCTGCAATACTGGATACATGCTGAGCCAAGGGCTTTGCAAGCCTGAAGTGGCAGATTCCACAGAACATTACATTGGGTTTGAGACTGACCTCCAGGATTTGGAGATGAAGTATTTATTGCAGAAAGCGGACCGCCGGATTGAGGTCCATGCCATCTTCATCAGCAATGACATGCGTCTCAATAGCTGGTTTGACCCATCCTGGCGCAAACGGATGCTTCTCACCCTAAAGAGCAACAAGTATAAATCTAGCCTGGTCCATATGATATTGGGAATCTCTCTTCAAATTTGCCTCACGAAGAACAGCACCTTGGAGCCTGTCCTGGCTGTTTACATCAACCCCTTTGGAGGCAGCCACTCTGAGAGTTGGTTTATGCCTGTCAATGAAAACAATTTTCCAGACTGGGAGCGGACTAAACTGGACTTACCACTTCAGTGTTATAACTGGACGCTGACTCTAGGCAACAAGTGGAAGACGTTTTTTGAAACAGTCCACATCTACTTGAGGAGTCGTATAAAATCAAATGGTCCCAATGGCAATGATAGCATCTATTATGAACCCCTGGAGTTTATTGATCCCTCCCGAAACCTGGGCTATATGAAAATCAACAGCATCCAAGTGTTTGGCTACAGCATGCACTTTGACCCGGAAGCAATCCGAGATTTGATTTTGCAACTGGACTACCCCTACACTCAGGGATCCCAGGACAGTGCACTCTTACAGCTACTAGAGATACGGGACCGTGTAAATAAACTTTCTCCTCCTGGTCAGCGTCGTCTAGATCTTTTCTCATGCCTACTGCGTCATAGACTCAAACTTTCTACCAGTGAAGTGATGAGGATTCAATCGGCTTTGCAGACCTTCAATGCCAAATTGCCAAACACAGTGGATTACGACACAACCAAATTATGTAGTTAACCATAAGTGTGAAGCACAACAGAAAACAAACAAATCATGGAGGCGTTTTTACAGTGCTTTTGTGGAACAGTTTATGTCTGGAAGAGTAAATTTAAATTGTCTTTTCAATATCTGTCTTATATCAGTCAATAACGTTGGATGGCAATTTACACCCATGAACTTGCTGACAAATGAATATATTATATCTGCAATTTTTTTTGGCTTTGTTTTATGAATGAAAATAAATACTGACACCTGTCTAGAAGACATTCTACTTTTTACAATAAATTTCATTTGTAATTTTATATGTTCCGTGGCAATGCTTTTGTGCATTACATCCTCTAGAGGGAACATAAAAGGATACCAATAAAATTTTGTAGCTGAACAGTTATTAAAAAGAAATGCTGTGGGATTCATTTTTTTCCTTTCCAGAAATGAATAACATCTTTGATACTATAATGTGTGACCAGAAAGTTGTGTAGAGGAGACAGAGGAATATCCATCAAAACCAAACTTAAAAGCAACTTAATATAAGATTATTCTGTAACTCTTGAGTCATAAATCTGAGTGTTCCTGTCAAAGCAAAATGTCATTTCTTATTGATGATTTACTTGTACCTAAACTTCCTGACATGGAAGCATCATGCTTTTTCAGGATGTTGTACTCTACCATACAAACAGTAAATCTCTAGTGGCCACATTTTCTGTTTTAGACAAGATAGAGTTCTGCAAACCATGTAGTATGGTTTAAAAGAAAAGTGAATACAGGAAATGTGTCCAATCCCAGGGGTCTCAGACAAGAACATCAAGCCAATGTGTAAGAGGCACTTATATCAACAACCATATACAAATGCCATGTTGCACCCGAAGTGCAACTGTCTGTCTGTCTGTCTGTCTATCTATCCATCCATCCATCTGACATTCAGCATAGATATAGATGATGTATATATATGATATATATATAGGTCTTTGGTTGTTCGGGTTTTCTCCCGCGTAAAATTGGAAGTGTCTTGGCGACGTTTCGACGAAGTCCCATTCGTCATCTTCAGGCTGGTGTTTTCAGCTTCGTGCTTTGAGCAGCAATGTGTGGTCTAACCTTGAAGTCCTTTGTGCTAGAGGAAGATTTCGATGTCTTATCTGTTTATGATGGGTTGCCCCAACAAGGAAGCCTAAGAACAAGGTTAGACCACACATTGCTGCTCAAAGCACGAAGCTGAAAACACCAGCCTGAAGATGACCAATGGGACTTTGTCGAAATGTCGCCAAGACACTTCCAATTTTACGCGGGAGAAAACCCGAACAACCAAAGACCTACATACAAATACCCGCGAAAACCTCAGAAAACATTATATATATATATGACATACATATATATATATGTATGTCATATATATATATATATGACATACATATATATGACATACATATATCACACACACATACATACATATATATATATATATATATATATATATATATATATATATATATATATCTTTTTCACTTTAAAACTCCCACAAAACACCGAAAAATGCTTTTCTCATAGATTTCAACCGTATGCTGTGTTGCTGTTTGATCCCATTATTATATATGGATCTTTAACCAGGAGAAGCTCTTTCTTTCTGTTAAAAAAGGCTTTCAGGCAATTTGTAATTGACATTTCAGATTCAAGCTCTACTTGAAAATATGACTCAAACCTGATAAATTGTGCTCATTCAAGAAATTGCATGTAGAAGCCCTTTTCAGATCTCCCAGTTGAATGTAGGGTGGTTAGTGGCTAAGCAAAGGAAACTAAACATTTAGAAATACCTCCTTTGTGTGACCTGAACTTCAACACTCTTCTTAAACACACTTTCATTAGACTTTATTTTCCCCTTTCCCTTTCACATTAAACTAATGTTTTAGGTTCAGGTTACAAATGATATAAAATGGAAGAGAAAGAAAGAAAGAAAGAAAGAAAGAAAGAAAGAAAGAAAGAAAGAAAGAAAGAAAGAAAGAAAGAAAGAAAGAAAGAAAGAGAGAGGGAGGGAGGGAGGGAGGGAGGGAGGGAGGGAGGGAGGGAGGGAGGGAGGGAAGAAATAGGCTTCACTTTTACTTCCTCCTTTCCATGCTAAGTTCATGTCTAAAGTAGGTTCTTCAAGTGGTTGTTCATTTTTATTGTTTAACAGCCATGTGTGAGGTACCAATCTTTGTTAGTTCCCCCTTAACTGAAGATTACCTACTTTGTAAATCAGTCACATTTTATCTTACCCCATACTTAATACAAAGTGAAGACTTCAGCCAAAGACCTAAAGGACAATATAAAATTAAGTTCAAAGCACATGAGACCAGTCATGCTCAATCATCTCTACATTCAAAGTTGAATTGCCACAAAGGTGATTTAATATGCGGCAATGGCTATAATGGCATGTAGCTGCAACAATATACCGTTTAAAGTGCACTGTTGAAGGTTGCTGCATACACACACGCCTAGACTCAAATGTTTATTAAGAAGTCTATCACAGCAAGTTTTAGACAAGCTGATCTTGGAAAAACTTGGCAGCATTGGACCTCACTGATCTCATTGATTTGGAGATTGTCAAATGTTCCAGGACTGTGGATAAGACCGGGAAGATTGAAAACATCCTGAAGGAAAGTAACAGCAAACTTTTTATATTGTAGCAAGAAAACAAAATGGGCCTGTACTTGCAGTTATTATGGATGGAACATGAAGCAAGAGAGTTCTTGCTTTATTATGTGATCAGGATTGGCATACCGCTAGGTTTAACCAGATGATAGAAAGCATGCTGCGGGCCTCATCAGTCAGAGTATTAAGGCTGGCGGGGTCCAGAGGAAGAGCCTTCTCTACTGTTGCACCTGTCCTCTGGAATAGGTCCGTGATATTTTTAGCTGGGAGGATTTTATAGCATTGTACTGGTATTATTATAAACTATACAGTTTTATCTTTTAATACTGTAAGCCGCCCAGAGTTACCATGTGGAAAGATGGGCATGTAATTAATTTTACAAATACGTACATACATACAGTACATATATACATGCATGCATAAATAGTTGTGCCACTTCAGCTATCTGGCTGGATAAAGGCCACATTAGGCTCTGTGTGACATGTTCAAGATTTCATAACAAGTGTTCATACCAAGGACTCTGAACACAAAGGTGCCTGATGGGGGTTGTTTTAAGAGATGAAATATGTGCTTTAGGTATCTGCAGAACATAAGTTTCCCATTTAGCTCCATAAATCTCCCAATTTTTAAAACATGAGGAAAAAGACTAAATACACACACACACAAACAAACACCTACACACACACACACACACAAACACACACACATATATATATACACATATATACATACATACACACATATATACATATAGACGTATATATATGTGTGTGTGTATATGTGTGTGTATATATATATGTGTGTATATATGTGTGTGTATATATATGTGTGTATATATGTGTGTGTGTATATATATGTGTGTGTGTATATGTGTGTGTGTATGTATACACATACATACATACATACATATATATATATATATATATATATATTTAGGTTTTTAGGTTTTGCTAACAAAGAATAAAGAGAGAATGGTATAGCTATTTCGGGTTCCTTTAACCCTCATCAGCCAAACTTACTCTTCTGAGATTCGAACCTGGGCTATCTGCATGTTAGGCAGATGTTATAACCTCTAAGCCACGGGTTCTCCCCACTTTGTTAGCTACCAGGAGAGAGACAGGGGGAGGAGATTTTTACCTTGAATGAACACCCTGTCAGCCCAGATATGGGAGAAAGAAATCTTCTTTCTTTTCTTTTCTTTTGCCTGTATCAGCTCAATCTAGAGCCATCCACAAGCATCAGTCACTAACTGCGACATCATTTTACATTTTTAGGTTTTTAGGTTTTGCTAACAAAGAATAAAGAGAGAATGGTATAGCTATTTCGGGTTCCTTTAACCCTCATCAGCCAAACTTACTCTTCTGAGATTCGAACCTGGGCTATCTGCATGTTAGGCAGATGTTATAACCTCTAAGCCACGGGTTCTCTCCCACTTTGTTAGCTACCAGGAGAGAGACAGGGGGAGGAGATTTTTACCTTGAATGAAATATATATATGTTTTCTGAGGTTTTCGCGGGTGTTTGTGTGTAGGTCTTTGGTTGTTCGGGTTTTCTCCTGCATAAAATTGGAAGTGTCTTGGCGACGTTTCAACGAAGTCCCATTCGTCATCTTCAAGCTGGTGTTTTCAGCTTCGTGCTTCGAGCAGCAATGTGTGGTCTTAGCTGTTTCTTCCTTTTAACTGCCAGTGGGGGTATGAACTGATTGGGTGGGAGCTTGGCTGTGTTCTGATTGGGTGGAGGTGTGTTCTGATTGGTTAGGGGCGTGGCTGTGCTCTGATTGGCTGGGGGGTTGGCTGTGCTCTGATTGGCTGGGGGAGTGTTCTGTTTGGTTGTGCTCAGGTTAGTCTGAGTTGCAGAGGGGTTTAAGATTTTGGGCTGCCTTGCTATTTTTTGGCTTCGCGTTTGTGGTCGTGCCTCATTTTCATGGAGGGTGTCAGTTTGCTTCATGTATGGATTGGAGGGCTTTAAAGTGGCTAATGATGCAGCTCTGGTCTGGCTTCTGGTTTGTGGTTGTGCCTCATCATCGGTGTGGCTTTGGGTTTGCTTTTTGCGTGGGTGTGTGGTGGTGACATCCTGTGTGGTTTTTGTGAGTGTGGGTCTGGTATCATTTTTTGTATTAGGGAGTCGTTTGTCAATAAGGGCGGGTTTCCAAATGGCTGGTAGGCGGCAGGTATCATCTCGCTTGTTCATGCTGTGTGGGCGTTTTTCTATCTTGATGGCTTCTCTGATTATTCTGTTATTAAAATGTTCACTTTTGGCAATGGTTCTGGTATTTTTAAAGTCAATTTCATGCCCTGTGGCTTTAAGGTGTTGGACCAGGGAAGATGTTGGTTCCTCTTTTTTGACTGAGTTCTTATGTTCTTCAATGCGTGCACTTATTCTTCTGTTGGTTTGTCCGATGTATGTGGTGGGACAAGTGGTGCATGGGATTTCGTATACTCCTTGATTTTCTAATTCAATTTTATCTTTGGGGTTTCTAAGGATGGTGGATATTTTTCTGTTTGTGCAGAATGCTGTTTTGATGTTGTGTTTATGGAGGATCTTACTGATTCTGTCTGTGGTGCCTTTTATGTATGGGAGGAGGGCTTTGCCGTTTTCTTGTTCTTCATCTTGGATTTTAGTGGGGGTTTCTTTTTGGATTAGGTTTGTAATCTTATTTCTATGGAATCCATTGGATGTTAGTACATTGGTGAGAGTGTGTAGTTCGGGTTTTAGGTGTTGTTTTCAGCTAAGCGTTTTGTTCTGGAGATGAGTGTCTTGGCTACAGAGTTGAT